AGAAGCAGAAACGCTGCGTAGAATTGCTCAAGTAGCATTCTGCAGGTGGTCGGCCAGAGATTCAGGTACCCTGCTTTAGTTCAAGGCTTCAGTTTGCAGCGCTACAGGTTTGAGCTTATGCTTATTGCGCTAGTAACATGGACTAAGGATTCAGCTATTGAAATAGCCCTACTTCTTAAATATTAACACTTGCTCTTTTTATACCCTTGCAGAGGGTATTATAATTTCAGTCAAAAGTTTGCAACGCAGTGAAGGAGACATTTCCGACCCTATAAAGTATATATATTCTTGATCAGGATCTCCTCCTGAGTTGATATAGCCATGTCTGTCCGTCCGTTTCTACGCAAACTAGTCCCTCAGTTTTAAAGCTATCTGCTTGAAACTTTCCCAAAAGTTGTCTTTCTATTGCAGGTAGTATATAAGTCAGAACGAGCCGGATCGGGCGACTATATCATATAGCTGCCATATAACTAAACGATCGGAAAAGCCATAACGTTGGTGTTTTTAAAGTTAGGAAGTTGGGATTTTCTATAAGTTTTATTTTTGACCAATTAATCCGACCTACCGAATTTCATAAAGATCGGACGACTATATCCTATAGCTGCCATATTACTGAACGATTGGAAATGCCATAACTTTGGTGTTTGTAAAGTTAGGAAGTTGGGACTTTTTATGAGTATTAAGAATACATCATATGAATAATTTTGAAGAATATAATTTACAGAATATTCTGCAAGGGTATATCAACTTCGGCTCCGTCCGAAGTTAGCTTTTCTTTCTTGTTTATAATTATTTGGAAATATGTATTTCTTAAGCTTTTAGTGCTCAGCCCAAATAACTCTCATTATTACAAGTATATAAAACAAACAAAATATATTACTCCAACTAATATTCCTGGAAAAAAAAGAATAATGTAAATGCTGGGACTATCAAAGTTCCATTTTTTTTGAGAAAAAGATTTTAATTCTTTATGGAATGACACACATAGTCAAAGAATGATACAACTAAATAAATTGGGCATTTGTTTGAGGCATTAAATTTCCAGTTTATTATTATTTTGGAAAATGCATGTATAAATTTGAACTTCAATTTTATTATAATTTATAAATATAATAAAAATAATATAATAATATCTTTGGCGGGTTTCTTATACATATCACTGTGGCCCAAAATTATACATTCATATTTCATTAAAAAAACAATTACTTGCATCCCCAGGCCCAAATCCAACAGTTATGAGGTTATAAATAAACTTAAATATTTTTCTGCAGCGGATCGGTTGAAAAAGGTGGATTTTTAGTATAATTATTATTTTACTTATCATTCTTGGCCACAAAATTTGATTTCAGAAATTTGGAAAGTTGAAGGGTCGTCACGACTTTCTCACCTTTTTCAATAATACAAGTAAGTGACCAGTATATCTACCATTTCATATTACTGGTTCGTCATGGGAATTACGTCCATTGTAGGAGCTAATTAATTGCTGTTATCTGCAAGCCCAAAAGTGAAGAGGACCTATGTAGGTATGTAAGTACTTATGACTCAGTTTCAGCCCGAAAATTCTGCGTCTGCAGGTCAACTGTTGCGTGCTCATAAATGCGCCATAAACGGGCAAATCCCACTGCTTTCGTCCGGCTGCAACAGTTGCATCAGCTTTTGCGCTAATACTATCCCCTTTCCTCCTACTTACCTTCCTGGCAGTTGCCACCTGCTACTCCGATCCTTTGCCCTACTTTACCCGCAACTCGCAACATATGCTGGCAATTTGGGTAAGTTGCCGAACAGGGGACCAAACAATAGAGGCCTTTATTTTTCCGAGTGTTCCTTTATTAAATAATTTATTACATAATATGGAATCAAGAATTCTAATTAAAAAGATAGTCAAAGCAATAAAATAAATAATAATAAAATAAACTTATATATTAAGCAAAATGTTTCATAATAAGTAATACTGTCAACTTAATTTTTTTTAACGAGTTCCAATGTACTTATTTAAGCTTGAAGAATACTAGTTTAGAGAAAATTAATAAGTTTTAATTGAATTTCAAGAAAAAATGTTAAAAACTGAAATAAATCCCGATTGAAAAGGTACTTTTATGGTTGTTATTTTAGTTTGTTTATACATATATAACGAAAAATATGGGATATTAGTACAAATAAAAAACACGAAATAGCTTACATATTTGAATGCATCGGTTCGGATCAACATACATATAGGACAATAAATGGTATATTTCCCTACATGTTGATCCACGAAATACCAGATCTTGTTCTGCATTTACAGCAGGTTTCAGTGCCAATCACTCATTGCCGTCCGTTTTTAGAGACCCCAATTTACCCATCATCGTCGACCCCTTTCCACTTCCCCACTTCCACCCACTTTCGTCGGCGACCTCGCCTGCGTCTTCGGTTTCTTTATTGTTTTATTGTCAGTTTAGGGATTTGACAATTTGCTTGCTGATTTTTTATGACAATCATGTATGTAAATTTCAGGCCTCTCTTCGCCTCTCTTTCTGTTCTTCTCAGCTCCACTACTCCACTCCAAAACTCTTCTTCAAGGCCCCACTCACACAACCGCACAACCGGAGCCGTATCTGTGTCTGTGTGTGTGTGTGTGTGTCCGTTCGTGTGGATGGAGTGGATATGGATGTATCTGGGCTCCATTAGCCCTCGATTTTTCGGTTACGAGATTCTTAAATACTTTTGGGTCATTCTCAGCTGAGTTTAAATACCAGACCAGTAAAAATGAAAAAAAGGAACGTTGAAAACCACAGCTACATCCGAATCCAAGGCACAAACCCTTTCCGTCGCTATCCATACCCGTTACTCATAGATTACGGGTATACTCGTATAGTGTGATCCAAATCCAAGTCGATCTTACCATGTCTAAAACAAGACCTATGTACACGGTATTTAGAGGGCAGGGAAATGACTATACATTTGAGATCCAGAAAATTAAAAATTGATATAGCCCCCATAATATGTACCTATATGCACCAAAATTTTAAAAATCGTAACCTTTTTAAGAAAATTAACTGAGGCCTCTGATTTTCACTAATTGAACTTGAGGACCATTTGTACAAAGGAAAATACAAATCAGAAAGTAGCGGGTATCTTCATAGTCGAAACAGTTTCATACAGCGTTCTTTCTTGTTTTAGTTCGGCCTTTGTTGTCTCTCGTTTTTGCACGCTCGTGTGCCCATCGTAATAAAAGTTTGGTTTATTAATTTGTAAAGCGTTGAAAACTTTTACGAGACCTGTGACGCCGATAATCGTTGGACGCGGCTCTGAAACTAGGCTAGTAGTGCGAATCAGTTTTGGCCCGGTCCAGTGAGTCAACAACTGACTAATTCGGACTGCAAACCCTATTAATTGGCTGTTGTCCCTATCAAGGCGTATGTAAAAATAAACAAAAACTAAAACTACAACACAGCTGCACTTTTTCTTAGAACAATTACTTTGGCAAGAAGCGATATGGATTGCTAAAAGAACTGCCTAATCAGTTTAAGCCCCTTTGAATCACCCGTTTAGAAGTTCTAGGTTCCGAATGCCGCTTTTATATTCCTTGACCATGATCAAACAAATATTAGTTATTATATTAGTATTAAACAATAATTTAAGTTAGATAATTTTAAAAAATTGTATCCTTAAGACATCATGCGGATAAGATGTGCAGTGTGCAGGTTGCACCTTAATTATACGTGGAATTCCTCAAAAATATATGAAGGTGATAATGCTAACACTGTCGAAAAAGTTGGCTCAAAAACGATTTCTGTTATGATCTGGAAACTTAACTCAATAAAAATTTTTTTTGCCTTGGCATAAGACGCGATTTAAGAGCCAATCCGACACTTGAAATAATGTTTGCAAAAATTCTTACCGGCAAGTATAAAATCTTATTTTTAAGAATCTTATTTTATAATTTGAATGTTGGCTGGAGCCAGTTAGTATAGCTTCATAGAGAAAAAATAAATATTTAATACTCAGTTGGTGTATGAAACAAATGTCAAATCTAAATATTTAAAAAAGACTATAATGTTGAATCTATGTTTATATAGTTGAAATAATATATACAGATCTAAATGGCACCGGTTGTATGTAAGCCCAGTCTTTAAATGACAAAGGCAGATGCTCTGCACTTAATTATATTATGCCATTTTACAGGGGCAACCATTCGGAATTCGTTGCGATTTTACATTATACAAACTGGAACATATTAAAAAAATACGTATATCCATTTAACACAGTATTTTGATTTTGATCAATTTTTTTTAAACTCTGTTTTGTTACATTTTGCAAGTAAAATTAAATTGGTCGGTTGTTGAAAGATCCGTCCTCTTCCAGGTTTTGTTTTCGGATTTTAAAACAACTCAAAGTGTCAACCTGATTTCGCCCATATTTTAATTTTATATTTGGTTAATTATCTTTGTCAATGATCATTTCTTGATCGTAAAAGTTCTGACCGACATAATATTTGACATAGTCAAAATTATTGAAAAAAATCACGGTCACAAAAAATGTTGGTGAAATACTTTGACTGAATTTAGTCATAGTCCTTCGTTTTTACCAAACAAATACATACAATTGTTCATATATGCCCTTATATTAAAAAAAATTAAATTTTCGCTTGATCGTTCCTATGACTTATATACAAACATATGTGATATCCAAACAGTTTTTTAACTTGATCTCACTAGTAATAATACCCGAGCGACAACACGCGTTATTAAATTTTTTAAATCAAAATCGTAATACCCCTCGCAAGGGTATTAAAAGGCAAAGAAAATGCAAAGCAAAATCAAATGCAGCGGCGGCGACAGAGCGACAGAGACGGCGACAGCGGCGGCCGCACATACATAAACATATACCGCCGCGCAGTATATAGCACACATATACAGTCACGCATGTGCGTCGACTGCGACGCTCTGCCGCTGCCACTGCCGCAGCCGCTGCCGCCGTCGCTGGAATGTGCCGCATGCACGTCGGTCCGGTCATTTGTATTTGGAACGCCGTAGCAGCCAGAAGGACACGGGTGAACAGCGTCGAAGCGTGCGAACGGAGTGGAGCGGCTACTTTTAGCGCCCTTTTTTGTTTCATTTTCCCACTCACATAAAACAAAGCAAAATTTTTGGCAAACACCTTTTCGGCAAACAAATTGAAAACAAAACTAAAAACATTTTCGTGCTAAACGCGGGAATCATACAAAAGATTTGTATATTCCATATAATATTGTGTTCGTAAACAATTTTTTTCTGTTTGATCCCCGATAAACGATAAACGCGAGAAGAAGTCTATTTCCAGTGATCTTGGAAAAAGGCGAAAAAAAACTCACCGGTAAAGTGGCGAAGAGAGAGATAAAGAGCAACGCCTTCCCTCGCATTCGCAAAAACAAAAAATTCAAAATTCAAAATTACCCAGCACAGTGGGCCGCATTCCGATTCGTTTCGGTTCCGATATTTGGTTTCTTCAGTTCGTATTATTTTTCGAGTCTGCTGTTTTGTGTTTCGCTGAAGGCAGAGAAAGAGAGAGAGAAAGAGATCAGTGGAGACGAAGAGAGCGGAGCGAAGCAGCAGGAAAGGAGGAAGCGAAGAAGCAGTCCAACGAAGAAGTGCCCAAAGCGAGGCGCAGATAAGTAAGAAACTGAAAAGAAAACGAAAAGGGATCTTCTGCGAGGATCCTTAATTTTTTTCAAGTGTGTGTGTGTGTGAGTCCCACAAACAATTTGCAGTTGACATTTGCCGCAGAAACTGCAAAGTTTTTGTATTTTACGATTCAAACCAAACCAAACCAAACTAAGAAGTGCCTGGAAAACCAAATCAGAATCAAAGTGAAATGGACATCAAGAACCGTTAGACATAAATCACAGAGTGTTAATGCGTGTGTGTGTGTGTTTTTTTTTAATCAAGTAACTTATAATTAATAATGTCTTAAAAAATAATTTGCTTTTTTTCAGTACAAATACAAAAGCAAATTTTCAACTATAAATCACAAAAAAAATAAAACCAAACAAAACAAACGATCGGCTCAGCAGAGCCAACGAAATATAAGCGGCAGCAGGATAGAATGCGCCACTAATCCCGGAGAGACATGAGAACCGGAGGACGTAACAGAAGTAGCAGCCAAAAAGCATCGGTAGCATCGACTTATGTAGCGGTCCATGACGAGCATTAAGACCGAGATGCCGCCCCTGCACGCGGCAGAGGCGCTTGCCGCCAGCAGTGCCACCGACAGCGGTGGGGGAGGAGGAGCGGGCGGACCAGGATCAGGAGTGGGAGGATCAGGAGCGGGAGGCGGCGGAGGCAGTGCGCCCGCGACGCCCAATGCCACAATCAGCGCCGCAGCCGACTCCAGTGATAATCAGCCCGGCACACCGCAGCCCCCGCAACAGCAGCAGCAACAACCCACGCAGCAGCAGTTGCAGCCACAAGCGCAGCAACAGACCATGGGCGGCGATCCCCAGCAGCAACAACAGCAGCAACAGGCCTCGGGCATCACCCACCAGCCGTACGCCACCCACCACATGTACTCTGCCTCCGGCGGACAGCAGCAGCAGCAGCAGATCTACGGCGGTCTGTACGGCGGAGACATGCAACAGCAGCAGGGCTACGCAAGCAGCTACATTAACAGCTACGAGCAGTTCTACCAGCAGCAGCAGCAACAACAGGGCCCCACAGACTACGCCTTTGGCGCCGTGGGCGTGGATTATGGCAAGAGCGCCGGGGTGCGGTACCATCCCTACCTGCAGACACCCACATCCGGACTGGGTGGCATACCATCGGCCAGTGCGACCCAGGAGGAGGCGGGCAGTGCGCCCAGTGCCGTCAGCACCACTACAGCTGTGGCCATGAGTCCGCGCGTGGTCAGCAGCAGCAGCCCCACGTCGACGTCCTCGCACATGCAGCTGGGCAGCTCTAGTGGTCAGACTCCGGGCTCCCCGGGCGGAGCCACTGGCAGTGCCGGATGCAAGCTGCAGTGCAAGAAATGCGGCATCCTCACCACCAACGAGTCGGAGCTGCAAGAGCACATCGCCAACGTGCACGGGGAGTCGCCCTACGGTAGCAGCGGCTACGCGAGCTCGCCTTACATCAAGGAGGAGATGCCCACGCCACAGCCACCCGGCGGCGGATCGACAGCGGCCAATCCCGGCGAGCTGCTCGACCTGGACTCCCAGAAAATGGTGTACCACCAGCAGCTGCTCCAACAGCAGCAGCAGCAACAACAACAGCAGCACGATGCGGTTGCCGGCCTGCCGCTGGGCGCTCTGCCGGATCCGCTGCACTCGATGCAGTCCATGCAGCAGCGGGCGCTCCACAGCTGGGAGCAGCAGCCGCAGCAAACCGTGGCTTCCGTGGAGGGCCTGCCGCCCTACATGCAGCAGGGCCTGGGCGTGGGGCTAGGAGTGGGCGTGGGTGTGGACAAGTCGCCCTACTACTCTCCCAAGCAGTCGCCCTATCACCAGACGGCCGGCGTTGGCGGAGCCACGCTGATCAAGCAGGAGTACGGAGGCCACGGACTGATCAAATCCGAGTACCCCGATTCGCAACACTACGTGGACAAGTCCTTCGACCCCACAGCCGGCGGAGGCGGCGGTGCCGAGCTGTGCGCCAGCGTGGCCACTAGTCCGGCAGAGTTCCCCAGCACCACCACAGGCGGACCCGGGCAGGATAGCGCGGCGGGTGCGGCGCCAGGCGGCGGATACCGCGGTTTCGAGCCGCCCAGTTCCAGCTCCGTGCTGCCGGCCAACAGCCTGACGGCCAAGGCGGCCACCTGGAAGTCGAACGAGGCGCGCCGCCCAAAAACGTACAACTGCACGGCATGCAACAAGTGGTTCACCAGTTCGGGACACCTCAAGCGCCACTACAACACGACGCTGCACAAGAACGCGGTCAAGTCGAGCGGACAGCCGGACCCAGCCACCTTGCCCATCTCGGCGCACCACCATCCCGCCCGCGATCCGGTGACGAAGCCCAGCCGCAGGGGCAACGCAGCAGCTGCTGCAGCCGCTGCAGCAGCCGCCGCTTCGGGCGGCGGTCAGGGGCAGCAGCAACAACCGCCGCCGCCACCACCGCCGGCCAATGTCCCGCCACCGGAGCCGCCCAGAAGTCCGCCCGAGTACGGCGGAGGCGGCGGCTTGGGCGTGGGACCGATGGGCGGCGCTGCCATGTCCCAGTACTCGGCCTCGCCCTCGCCCACTCAGCAGCAGCAGCAACAGCACCACCTCAACCACCATCAGCAGCAGGCCAACGGCTATGCTAATGGCACCGCCAACGGCTATGGCTACATGCAGCAACAAGTGCAATCCACGACAAACGCTTCACCACAGCACGCTTCCAACAACAACAACCAGCAGCAGCAACAACAACAGCAGCACCATCAGCAGCAGATGCCGCAGCACCACAACTCCGTTTTGAACGGTCACCCAAACGGGCTAGCAGGTCCCTCCGCCCCACTCAACAACAACAACACCACCCAAATGCCGTCCTCCCAAATGAGGGGCCTGCTGAACGAAACAACAACCACGCCGCCACCAACAACAACAACCCGACCACCACAAATCACAACAACAACGGCAACGGCGGCCACCACGGTAGCTATAAAGAGCGAGCAAATGGAGGACAGCAACCACACACATCCCAATCTCAGTCACAGCCAGGACAGGAGCCACAGCAGCAGCAGCAGCTCAATGGCCACGGAGGAGGCGGAGGAGCAGGAGCTGCGGGAGCAGGAGCAGGCGGAAGATCACCTGCAGCAGCAGCATCAGGCGGCCCAGCAGTATCTGCTGGCGGCGCGTCACTACCACAGCAGCACGCCCAACACGCTCAGCAGCAGCAACACCAATCCCAGCACGCCCAGCAGCAACTCGCCCCATACTATCTACCGGCAGGAGCCGCCGGGAACGGATTTCTCGCGCACCACCCCGCCGCTGCAGCCGCTGCCGCCTATGGGAATGCTGCCGCCTATGGCAATGGACTACAACATGCTGGCTTTGGATATGCCCATGCCCATGCCCACGCCCATGCACAGCAGTATGCTGCAGTGCAGCAGCACCAGCACCACGCCGCTAGCTACTACCACCACCACCAGTATGCCGGACACTATGCAGCCGCCGCAGCAGCAGCTGGTGCACCACTACCACCAGGCGGTGCTCCACCCGCACCATCAGCAGCTGGGGGAGCTGCACCAGCACCAGGCGGAGGATCAGGAGCAGCAGCGGCGGGAGCTTCACCAACTGGATCAGCAGCATCAGGCGCTAATCCTGGCGGACAGTTTGCCGCACAGCAGCAGTTCGCCCACCAGCAGCTCCCCGCCGCCCACCATGGCCATGCCCATGCCGCTCACCACCATCACAGCGCCGCAGCTGCTGCCGCTGCAGCCGCCGCCGCCGCACATCACCAGCACCATGCCCATGCCGCCCACCATGCACATGCCCATCATGCCGCCGCCGCCGCCATGCTACCAGCAGCTGCAGCCGCTGGACCCCACAATGAGCTATCACACTATTATTGGTAGTGGGTCGGAGGTGCACTCGGCGGCGGGCGGAGGGGGCTACGGCAACCAGATCGCCACGAGCGACGGCCAGATCCTGCAGCTGATGCCCGCCTCCCTGTTCGCGCCCTACGCCCCGCTATCGCCGTACTCGGTGGCCGCCCAGCGGTCGCCGCAGGAGGGCGATCTGCCGCCGGTGCACACTCTGACCACGGCGCTCCACGCCCACCAGCAGGGCGGGCAGCAGGAGGCGCAAACGCCCACCCTGACGGTGCTCTCCACGCCCTACTCGCCCACGGTGAGCAGCTCGCGGGCCACTCCCGCGCTGGAGATGGACATGGCCACGCTCATGCAGCACCAGCAGGACTACGAGATGGAGCAGTACCAGCTGCAGCACCAGCAGTTGGAGCAACTGCAGCAGCACCAGCAGCAACTGGGGCAGCAGCAGCAGATCCTGGCGGATCAGGTGCAGTCGCTGGCACAGCAGCCGTTGGCCAAGAAGCGGCGCGGCGGCAACGGAACACCCTCGACGACGAAGCGTCGGCGGAACAGCAGCGTCGGATCCACGTCGCCGCACTCCACCACCCTGCCCTCCGGACGGATCAAGTGTCTGGAGTGCGACAAGGAGTTCACCAAGAACTGCTACCTCACGCAGCACAACAAGAGCTTCCACTCCGGTGAGTACCCGTTTCGCTGTCAGAAGTGCGGAAAGCGCTTCCAGAGCGAGGACGTCTACACCACACATTTGGGGCGCCACCGAACGCAGGACAAGCCGCACAAGTGCGAGCTGTGCCCCAAGCAATTCCACCACAAGACCGACCTGCGTCGACACGTGGAGGCGATCCACACGGGGCTGAAGCAGCACATGTGCGACATCTGCGAGAAGGGCTTCTGCCGCAAGGACCACCTGCGCAAGCACCTCGAGACGCACAATCGGCCACGGGTGGTGGGCAAAAAGTCCGCCGCGGCAGCGGCCGCCGCAGCAGCCTCTGGCTCGGCGGCAATATCCATCAAGGCGGCCTTCGCCCGCTCGCTGACGGTGACGGCTGTGAGCGAAACGGGAGTTGCAATGCCCGCAGCTCCTGCTCCGGCTCTTGCCCAGGCAGTCACTCCCAGTCTGAATCCAACCAGCCTCAGTCTGAAGCGCCACATCGACGATGTGGCCGCCGACGACGACAGCCTGCTGGAGGAGGACGAGGATGAGATGGAGATGGAAATGGAGGAGGAAGAGGAGGAGGAGCTGAGCGATCACCACATGATGATCAAGAGCGAGTTCGTGGAGAAGGAGTTCGAGATGATCGAAAAGACCATAGAGATGTACTAGAGTAGAGTTGCAGTGAGGACGAGAGCAGGCCAGGATCTGGGTGTTGAAATGCTCTGGGCTTTGAGCTGGGGGAGAGCGGATACAGGGGGGGTCGATTGCATGGAGGGCAACTGAGAGCGGCTTGGGCTGCGGGCGCAGTTCGAGCGGCTCTGCAGTTGAGTGTCCTGTTCTTGGCGAGAGGCAGTCAGTCACTTCGATAACATTTTAACGAGTTTCGCCCAGTTTTATTTCGCATGCTCGTTAAGAAAACACACTTTGTTGCTTGGCAGGCAATAATTCGATGTTTTAGCAGTTTTATTCTTGATTATTTTTTTGGGCGAACACGACAGTACTTAGAATTGATCGCAAAGCCGCAGCATTTCAATAACTTAGACGGCCGGCCACTCCTTGGCAGTGACCCCCAATCCCAAATGCCACCCACCGCGCCACAATCCATTCCTGTAATTTGTGTGAGTTTGCCATATGTGTGAAACGATTGAAAGACAGACAGAATTCCTAATTGTTGTAGCAGCAAATTATTTAATTTTATTTGTATGTTAAAATTGTATTATTATTATTTGTATTTTAACTATTATTACGATGCTTATTTGTAAAGCCTAATTTGTACGTGTGAACCTTCAAGTATACCTCAGCAACAGCAGTCCAAGAAACGCTTAAAATCAGGGCGCCTATAAATATATATATTTATACCTATTCCACTTATATATGTATGTAAACACTAGTTGTACCACTTTTTTTTGTCTTATTTTAATATGTAACTTGTTTAATTATTTTTTGATTATTGATTATATTTTGTAATCGAGAGAAACAACCACAACAAATGCCATATACACGATATGTAAACTAAAAATCAGCAACTATATGCCAATTGATATATATACTATATCTAGTTACTAGACAAACGCATATATACACACATATATATTTGTATATATATATATGTTAGCCTTAAAAACGCCAAATTGTCATAGCAAAGGAAACAAAACTCAAGAAAATGCGAAATCAGGGATATTATTATGTTTCTAAGCCACGAACGAACGCTCATATTCGCGTATTATTATACCTATATATTTATTACGATTAGTTGCCCCTAACTTATGTTCCACCAATAAAACCATTTGTAATTATTTAAAACTTTATTTTATCCCTATCGTATCCCCATCCCCGAGTCTTAAATCTTGTTTGTAATTATTTTTTTTTTATTTTAATTGTTAACCATTCTAACGCTTTCCCTCTTGGCACGCCTACAATTTTTTTTAAATGACAAATATAAACAAAACCAAAAAAAAGTGAAAATTACGCAAATTATGTTTTTCTTTATTTCATTTGGCTGCTTTCCTTCTTATTTTTCAGTTTAGTCCAATTCGTTTGGCTCGATCTCGACGGATTAAAATGGAAACATTGTTTGGTTTCAGAAGATGTTCGCTAACTCTTTGCCACTGGGATTCTCTGATTTGGCCAACCTTATTCCTTTCGACCATATTTCTTTTATGAGCCATCTCTTGGCGCGAGGGAGGCCCCTTTCCTTGCTAGCCACAAGCCATAAACTTTTAAATAAATGTGTGTGTTTTCCCTCTTTCCTTTTTCTTAATTATTTTTTTAGAAATTCATTGTTGTTTCTGTTGTTCCTCGCTGCTAGTTCCAAAGAAATTACGTGCGTGTCTTTAATATTTATTTTTCGACGCCGTTTTTTCTCCTCTCTGTTTTCTGTTCTGTTTTCTCTTTCTGTGTTTTCAGATTCAGTTGTAGTTGAGGTTGAGGTTGAGAATCCGAATCCGAATTCGGAGTTCGAGTGAGATAGAGATTTTTTGTTTTCGTTTGAGGCTCAATTTTTGCGAAGAAAGAAGCGAAGCAGAAGCAAAGAAAGAATGGAAGACAAGCAAGACATGTGTAGATACAAAGATAGGCGTCGCTGAGGACGTGCTCGTGTGAGGCAACTGGCTTCCCAGTTCGCCGGGGCCCAAGGATCTTCGGGATAAAGGACACATCCCATCTATTGATTTCGCCATCCTTCCGAGGCCACAACGAAGCAATGTGTTCCTACGACCAACTGGGATCTAAGATTCCGCAGCCTGCTAACATCGCGCCAACACATGTCGAAGTATCTGTCGCCCTGCATTCCCTCCTTTTATTCCTGTGGCGAACAGATACTCGGGGAATGGATCGGGAAATTCGAGGCCCAGGGGGTGCAAATAGACGCAGATATACAAATATGTACATATGTATGTATGTAGTAAATGCGCTAGAGAATTGGCAAGCAGCAGAGAAGTTTGCATTTTAAGTAGGGCCTCAAAATGTGGCATAGCAACTGGGCATTTCTAACACCTCAAAGATTTGAACTCTGTGTATAAAAAATAAAATTGTCACACGGATATGGGAGTATAAAAATAATATTGAATCTCAAAGTTCTCACATATTTCTTTGTGTTTCTTTTTTCATGAATTTTAAAATTTTTAGTTTAATTTTCTTTTAATGTATGCTTATTATTATTGTATTGTACCGTACATTTAAACAATATAATGCATGTTAAAATAGCGATATTTTACTAATATGATTTTTTACTAAGCATTATACATACATATATGTATATTTTGCAAATCGTAGGAAATCGTTGGAAAATCAATGTAATATACTTAGTTTTTAGGCCTCGGATCAGCATTTTAAAAACAAGACAGAAATGGCTGGGGAATTTAAATATTAGAATGTGAAGAACATTTTTCGGGAACCCTTATTTTATTTGTTTTGTATTTTAAACATAAGAAGTTAGAATAGTCAATTTTTCAGTGTCTTTTACGGGAGTAGATAAGTTTTATTATTAAAAATAGATGAACTTGGGTGTCTATATAGTATAGTGCTTAAGAGATTTGGTGGGGTTATCATTTGTTCTAAAATAGTTCGGTTTCGCAAACTATAATCCCAAGAATTTGTTTCGAGTTTGCCGGTTTTCGGCGAGTATCTGAAAAAGACGTTGGGGGCTGCGCCTGCGCGACACTCGCAGCAAAGGCAAAGCCAAGAGCAACAGCAGCAACAACAGCAACAACAGCAACAACAGCTACAACAGCAACACCAGTTGCGGCAGCAGCAACAATTGTGGCTATGTCATCATAACGCTGCCGTCCGTCCTCTTTCTCTGCTTCGTCTTGCGGCGTTTGGCCGCACATCTGTATTGGTGTGTATCTGTGTCGGTGTATCTGTATCTGTAGTTGTGTCTTCTACACGGCTTTTGGTTGCCCGTGCGTTTTTCTTGGGTTTTTGTTTGGTTTGTTGAACATAAAAACTGGTTTCCTGTACATATGCTCATCCAGCAACAAACCATCTGTAATTTTAATTTTTCGGCAAGATGTTGCGCTCTGCCGCTGCCTCCCTCTTTCGCCGTTTCTATCTGGCTCTTTTCGTTTTCGTTTTCTTGTATTTTTCGGCAGAGATTTTGATCGGTTATCCAGGTAGAAATTGTCTACCTCCATGTGTCCATATATCCGTGTGTGTATCTTGTAGATACTCGTACCCTCGAAAGACAGTAGGTCGCTCCGTCTCGCTCGCACACGACAGTGTAATCCTTGAAATGTGCTCGTTCTCTCCCTTTTGTGCTGTTCTTTCCTTTCGCCACTTCGCCTGTTTCTCCCGATTCTCCAGCTATATATTTATATATCTCTATATATGTACATATGTATGTGGAACGTTAGCACTTACCATGATTCATAGTTATACACACACAGATCGGGCGAAGGAAAGAATCTTCCTGCGATACAGGCGAAGAGCAAAAATACAAAAAACATATATAGACCGAAAAACTTATCGCACAATACACAATAGCTTCGCCTTGACAGGCTTTTGTGTCTTTGTTTTGGAGGAGGAAGCAGCAGGAGAAGGTTGAGGATGGGGGAAGGGGGAAGGGAACTATTCAAAAGAGACAACCACAACCTAAAGTTTATACCGATGTGTGTGTGTGTGTGTGTGTGGTGTGCTATATGATCGATGTGCAAATCTGGCATTCTCCTCTTCCAACCCCCTCCCCCAGCCCCTTCTTCCCACGCAACTGCCGAACATGTGTGATCTGCTCACTTCCTTGGCTCCTTCCTTTTCGCCGACTGTGTTTACTTTCTGCCCTGGATTTGGGTTCCTTGCGCATAACTGTTCTTTTGTATTTGCTGTTCTCAGGGTCACCCCTCCCTCTCCATCTCCCTCTCCTTCCTGAATTCCTCATTTCCCGAATCCTGTCCGTCTAGAAACCAGAAGTAGTAGAATCTGTAATTTACAGTTTGCTCTGGAAAAATAAAAAGACTGTTTACCTAAAAAGGTGCAAAGATCGCAATAATATAAATATTTTAATACTAAATGCTCACCTTTGTAAGATGCAGTTTAAAATGGGCTTTATTGTGTATTTTATAATCTGAAAACCCTTCTCTTGCCAAAACTAGCAGATTTTCATACTTTGGTTTAATATTCGGAAGGAGCCTGTTTGGGGCAGAAATTTTGGTTTTAAGCAAAATCGAAAGTCTAAATATCTCTGTATGTATTGTTTGTAAGGTTTGTTTTTGGTAAAAACCAACTTGTGCCCATTAGCTCAAAATAATCTCAAATGCTTGTGCCTTTTTCAGGCCTCAGATACGATGAAAAGGTTAAATTGAATCTGTCAGATAGCTACGGCTCTCTTGACATCTAACACAGGAACTCAATCAAATTAGCCCTCCGAAAAATGGAAATTATCCAAGGCCCCAACCCCCTTTTCACACCCTCCTCCCTTTACTGGGATGCGAAATTTTCTTCTTTCCCGGGAAATGTAAAATTTTCCATCTATTTTTTATTTTTGGTAGGTTTTTTCCTCCATTTGACTTTGGCTTAGAGCAAGAAATCTCTTTTTTAATTACCGAACATTTGACAGCATCCTAAAATGCTTATTGTGTTCTTTATATAAAGGTTCACGCACACAGGCGCGGGCAAAAGCAAAAGCAAGAGCATCTTGGCTGTTGTTAACCATTTCTTGCTTTCATTTTGGACATGTGTGTGAGCGCTAGAATAAACCAACCCCCGAGCTACGGCCGTAGATATTTGATTTCCAAAATTCAATGACAAACGGCAACAACAACAGCAATGGCAGCACGAAGAACAAGAACAGCGAGCGGACCAAGATGACAGGATAGCATGGCTGCCGCATCATCATCGGCATCATTATCATTATCGTCTCGCTCAGCAGTGTTTCGAGCATCTGCCATGTCTGGCCAAGATTCCGAACGTCTGTCTAGAACCTTAATTACGCCGCTTGGAAAATGGCCAGATATAGATACAGATACAGACGAATAATTTTCTACATCTAGGCATAATCCAACCGCAGAGCATGGGGTGAATGTTTAGATAGAGGGTTTCTATAAGCAGTAACTGCTATAGATCAAAATTTTAAACACACTTGTTTTGCAAGGAATTCAAAGATGTATGGCTGTCAGATATATGTAGTGACTCCATCTTTAATAGATCAAGGATTTGGCTGGTGATCCTTAAAAGGTCACTTTCGATTTCTGTCTACTTGCAAAATGTTTCAATCATATTTTAAAATTAGTTATTTATTTAGTATTCTAAAATAGTTATTCCTTATGTTTCTTTTTTTTTATTTTGTAAAAATTGTATATGCTGATAATTACAACTATCCATTCAACCATTAATAGGAATTTCTATCTTTTCAAAAATATTAAATAATTCGCTTAAATATTAGTACGTTCCTTTTAGTTGATTAATTTATTTCAATTGAACCGTATATATTTTAAGACTCGAAAAGAAGTTGGTGCTATGGCTCCACCTTGCCGGGCTCATTCGTCCCGTGGGATCCTTTCGGGATCCGCTGTGACCATAACTGTATCACTGTAGCAGTCCAAGCCGATCAACTGCTAACTGTGTCTCTCCGATGGCCATTCAAAACAAAAGACTTAGGCAACGAACTTACTTACAAGCGAACATTGAATTTGAGTCCTCGTCGAGAAGTGTGCGGCGAACGGCGGGATGGGGGCGATTTTGAAATTCAAAATGATATATGCGGAGCAGGGGCGGGGCTGGATGGGCGGGGCAGCGGTGCTGCCGCATGGCGAAAACGAGGAGCGTCATCAAATGGCGCACAGCTGCGCCAAGCAAAACAACAACGCTGTTTTCGTCGTTGTCGTTTTTTTGGCTGTCCAGAAATCGTTGCTACATTTTGAAGCTTCACTTCATGTGTGTGTCCTAATTCCAATTCAACCGAAATTTTGTCTCACAATCAGTTAGAAAAAAAAGACGACAGAAAGAAGTAAAGTAAAACAAAATAAATCTTTTTGAGCCCCGCAACGAACCAGCGACTGAGTTTCAACCAAAATACAACAGACAGCAACAAAACTAAACTATAGCCAAAACTTTTTTTTGGTTTCTTGTTGCTGTCGGCGCTTTATCCGATTTTGTGTTGTTGCTGCTGTTCTCTTCTCTTTTCGTATTTTTTATGACGAGTTTCCGCTAATTGCTGATGCGCTGCAGATTAACTGAAGCCCGGCGATCCAGCAACAAAATCAAGCGCTAAGATAAATGGCCGCGGAATAGGGGCGGCGTGGGAGGGGCGTGGCGAGGAGGGGAGGTGGTAGGATAGAAACGGCCGCATTGGATGACTCCGAAAAAGTTACAGGGATAGATGGATTGGACATGACCAGAGGGACAGCCAAAGTAGATACCTGTATTAGCATTAATTGTAAGTAAAAGACTGGGAGGAGGCATGTTTTAGGTAATTGTACGAAAAGATTAGGACCTTGGGGCTTAGGATCCAAAGTTTATTATTGAAACCTATTAAATAAATTGCTTCGGTTTTCGAAATTGTATTAAATGGTTCAAAACACAGCGGAGTCAATTGAATTGGGATGTATGCACTGTAATGTTTTTGCTCATCTTAATATATATGGTTACATCTGTAAGGATAAGGCTTAAAAATCGATCTTCTCACTTTATCCAAAATATAAGGTTACGTTTGGATTTGTATGCCAACATATCTAGATATTTAAATATTTTATATAGTTTCTGCTCAAGTACGTCAATTAAAATGAAATCAAAAACAAGAAAGAACGCTATAGTCGAGTGCCCAGACTATCAGATACCCGTTACTCAGGTAAAGGCAGTGCGAGGGAGATGGAGATAGAAACTTTGATCACGCATAACTTTTTAACGAATGGTCCGATTTGAAAAATTTCTTCTACATTTCGATAGGTATTGATAAACACAATAAAACTGCATTTTTACTTTTCCGAAATATTTAAATTTTTAAAATCGTATATAAGCGATTGTGGGCGTTAAAGGGGGCGTGGCACCTTTTTGAAACAAACTTGCGCTGCGTAGGAACTCCTAGAATCTGCATGCAAAATGTCAATCTTCTAGCTTTAATAGTTTCCGAGATCTCAGCGTTCATACGGACAGACAGACAGACGGACAGACGGACATGGCTATATCGACTCGGCTAGTGACCCTGATCAAGAATATATATACTTTATAGGGTCGGAAACGCTTCCTTCTAGCTGTTACATACTTTTGCACGAATACAATATACCCTTTTACTCTACGAGTAACGGGTATAATTAGTTGTGATAAGTTCTAATAATTCTTGGGATCTTTCGCTGCACAGAGTCTAAGAATTTCATTTAAAATCGTTGACTTCTCCCTGATTTCGCGCCGTGTATAATCTAAGCCTTAGTGTGACGCATGCATACACACATCAAAGTGTAAGAAGAAGACGGCCGAGCCGAAATTAAAAGAGGAAAAAAATAAAGGCGTTCCCCTTGTTGTTGTCGTTTTTGTGGATTGTGGGCCACAGAAAAGAAACAACAAAGCGAGCGATGAAGAAGCAGAATCATACGAATTATAAGAATTACGCCGAAACCGAATCGGAGAGGAGAGGAGAGGAGAGGTCGGTGGAAGAGGGGAGCGGAGCAACATCTTAGATATCAGATTATAGAGCGCTGGCCTTATAGCCTTAGCTAATAATTCCAGCGGGCGGGGGTTGCCAGGGGTGCGAGCGAGATCGCTGTGGGACCGTGTGTGCATATAAGCATAATGAGTTAAAATTGGATTAGAGATTTATTGGATTTGATTTCGGTGTGATTCCTTTATATCAAGTCTTACATTGAACCTGAAACCGACTTCCCCCGATACCGACTCCAATCCCGATCCCGATCCCGATTCCGATCAGATCCCACAGCTGCAGTCGCAGACCCAAGTACAGATACTGAAACTGAAACAGAAACAGATGTTTCAAATGTCGCAGATACAGATACATAGATACGTGTTGCCGACTTGTCATCATCTGTCGTCCGGCGGCGGGGACGTTGACTAATTAGCCAGCCGAGCTTTCGGGTTGGCCTTTTCTCCCCGACACTCGCATTAATCTCCAACTAACCTCCCGTTCCCCCACTTTCATTCGTTGCAGCATCCAGGAGGCAGCCCAAATCGAACCCATCTATGTATTCAGCGATGCGCAGGCAGCCGAACGCCCAGAAACGGATCAAAATTTAAGTGAATTGAATTATTTCGGACAACCCGTGAACTCCGGGCATTGGTGCGAGTACGAAGAGGGGAAGGACGAAGGAGGAAGCCCCCAAAGAAACATCAACTTGAGTGGTGTACAATTTTACCCCCACCCCGATCATCATCATCATGGACTTCAGGATCACCACAGAAGCTCTCTCCCCCCACCCCGCGTAAAAAAAATGTTTTCAGTTCAAAGGTTTTCGTTTACATATTCTAGTAAAATCAATGAATCTTTCGAAAGGGACCTACATTCAGGACGTACTAGGGATTCCCCAGGAAATAATCGAATCTCTTTAGTGCAAATTTAGTATAACTCCTTGTCCGCCAATCGCAGACTCCCATTCAAATATTGATGTGTAACCAGACAAGAAGCAGCCCGAATAGCCATACTAAAGGGTATTATTTTGCGTACTTGTAGCCCTTTTTATCTGACGCTCCTGGCCATAATTACAATTACAAATACACTTGCAATTGCATTCATTAGCTGTACATAGGCGTAACAAGTCGAAGGACTAAAACGTAGAGGGGAAGAGGACGAAGATGCAGCTGCAGAATATTGTCTCCTATATCAACATTGTGCATATCATTTATTGGGCAAACGGAAACACAATAATTAAACTTAAATAGCAAAAGGTTAAAAGCAGGAGAGGCAATACTTTTAGTTGAAATTGAATTGAATTAACTCGCTTTGCGAAACGCATTTCATCCGTCAGTTGGGAGTGTTTACTGTGCAATATAAAGTATTTTTTTTATCGAAATGTTAAGGACGAAACTAGCGATAGCATAGAACCACAAACGATTACCTCGGCAGAACAGCTCAGAAAGTAATAGAAATCTACCTCGTTAGCAATAAAATGAAAACACAAGTGCAAGTGCAAGCAGGAATATTTTAGTTCGATTCTCATTTTGAAATAAGAACAAGCTTATTATACAAAACAAACGCAGCCAATGCGAACAAATCGAAGAAAATGTCAACTAATTATACGTAAAACTAAAACAAATAACTTTAAATATAATTGTTTATATGCTATTTATACACACCTATACATTATATACGAAGGGTACTTCTAGGCTTAATGAAACCCGGCCACCCATCCCCCCTCCCCCTTCCCCCAGTTGCGCGGCATTGTCATCAGTTTAAATTTGAATCTTTACCGTTTGGCCAGCTACCATGAATTTGTTGCTCATATGACAACGCAACCAACACCCATACACCCCCTCCCCCTCCCCCTCCCCTCCCGGGGGCGGTGGCCAAAGGTCAGGGGGCAGTGGCCAGAAGGGAGCAGTAGTTGCCACCACTACTCCACCCCCCACCCCATCTATCTCAACAACGAAAATCCAATTGAGAACTAGAAACAAGTGATTTCGGTAGTCCTGCAGGGAGTTAATCTTTGAGCCTGAATAATAATATAACTATCACGTTGAAGCATTTGTCCGCATGTCCATTTATACTATACAACTCACTGTACCATTTCCATTGTCAGTTTAGATCAGATAGAACTACTGCACTCTGCAATACTCAAGTGAATAGCGAAATCTCTTAAAAGCTTTTTGCCAAAAACCCTACACCGCAAAGGCAAAGAAATAACTTGCAGGATTACAACATTTTTTCGGAACACCGAATCTATTTTTCCTTCCCTGGACTTCAATACAATTCTGTTTGTGTTTAGAATTATACGTAAATATAGTTTTTTTTTCTTGAAGCAGAACACCTAAGCAATACTTGATGCAGGCAACTCTTTGGTTCAGACTATAACGATTCTTCGATCTAAGCTAAATGCAATTTCTTGGAAGATATTTAAAGAGAGAAACTAAAAAACATATTTGAATTATGTAGCAACTACATGTTAAATTTTAGCAATTAATTATTAAATAAAAGGGAGCACAAAACCCGTATGAAACTTACAAATTATACACACATATACGAATATGATGATCGGGTATATTTAAAGGAAATTTTTAAGAAGCACCAAGTGAAAAATAAACACTGAAACCGCCAAAGAGTTAATAGGAAAAGTTGAACAATGGCCAAATGCATGATACATTATCGGGTATTTCTTGTACAAGCCAATTATTTGATTTTAGTAATAAGGCAAAGAAAAACACTATTGTTTGTATTGTATTTGTAACCGTTTCTTAAACAAAAGGTCTTAATCATTAATTTTTAAGTTAAAAGTAGCAACAACCACAATTATGTACAATTATTTAAGTTAACCCCTGAAAAAACGATCATACTTTTCTAATTTGTTATGAAGATGGTTTTGAATTAATTAATTATTTGACGAAGTGTTCCACAAAAAAGGATACGAATCTTAAAATAGGCTTGTACAAGAAGAAGCCACTTGAGTGTAGTAGAACTTTGAAAAACAAAAGACGAAAAAAATCCAATAAATCTACAAGGAACCATGTACCTCTCTCCAGTAATGGCGCAAAAAAAGGAAAACCAAATCACACAGATGAAGATTTACCAAAATCTGAATTATAATTCCCAATTATTTTTTGTGTATGTTGTGTGTGCGTGCATTGATATTTGTACATTTTTACAAACTTATAGCAACCTCAGATGCAAACGCAAAAGGCCAACCAACCTCAAGAGAACCCAACTTGTATCAGAAATTTTAACAAAGATTTTATATAATGAAAGTTAGGAAAACTCAGTGTTAAATGGATTTGGCATCAGGCCAATTACATATATGTGTCCTCTAATAAGCACATCTCAATGTATGCCAACTCAAATCGGAACCCGGAACCCAAGTTGTAATCCGAGGCTCTGCATCCGAATGAATTTTCGCAAACATGTATCTCTAAAATAAACCTGTACATACATTTATGTGTACGTATGTACATATAATCGACGGGTCTCCCTCACCACCCCTTTACACACAAGGAGAAACGAAATTGTCATACCAAAAATATTGGAAGCAAAAAACTGACACATGAAAAAATGAATTTTTTTGAACCGAAATAAAGAATGTAAACTACAGTTCTTTTTAGTTTTACTGGCCTTTTTGAGTGGATGGAATCGATCGAATTAGTTTAGTTGGAAAATTTCTTGATAACGCTTTTATCCATTAACAATATTTTCAACAGTCGCTCAATATTAACTATTTTGAATGGCGCTTTGAATTAATAATTGCACAAAGCAAAGTTTGATATTTTGTTTAACTTACTGCTTTAATATCGAAAATCAACATTTGCTGGTTTAGTTTGTTATAAGAGAACTCTTAATTTCTGTTTTATATTGGTTTTCCCGCCTCGCGTTTCCTTAGCATCCCATGTTGATAAAAGAGTTTAAAGTTTCAATTAAACTAGCAAGGCAATTGTTTTTGAGAAAAGACAGTTCTCGCTTTTTGATTGATAAAAACGATTGATTTTTCAGAGTGTACCTGCATCTACACGTACTTCAAACGCAGCAGGTACAGGAACGATTACAGGGGATGGGAAAGCAAAAGGCTGGAGCGGAATCACGCAGACCGTGTCCAACTAAAAGGCGCCGTGCATATTTGGAATGACGCCATCGCCGAACCGGGGAAATCAACAGGTAGTGGCGACGGCCCGACGTCCGAGGTTTCCTGTGCTCGGAAAAACTCGGATAACGAGAACGAGAAGGAGAACGAGAAGGAGAACGGGAAGGAGAACCCAGGAACGAGGACCAAGCGGTGAGAATTGATAAACGAAGAGCGAAGACAATGGACAACACGAAAAGTGGGCACTTGCACTGGTGCAGTTGATGGTCGTAATGGCCCTGGTGGAGGGCAATCAGGTGAGCTGGTCAGGAACAACGTTCATGCGTGGCCAATCCTCGAAGTTAGGCATTTCTGTTCGGAAGAAGAAGAAGACTATTGAAGACTATTCAGACGCAAGGCCTGCAACTATTCTAATACTTACTTTTTAGCTTTTAACATTTTAAAACAGAAATTTTACTTTTCAATATACAGCAGGTTTTGTCCCTGCTAACAGGGAAATATATTTATTAATATCTAAAAATCGGAACAAGTTTAAGGAAGAAACTATTTTTGGTATGATAATATTTATGTCAGATTTGACAAAAATCAGCGCCTAGGAAAGACAGTTATCCGTGATATAAATCATATTTATAAGATACTACCTTATGATTAGGCAGCATTATGACTTTGAATAGGCTTAAGTATAATATTGATCAACTTTTAAAATTGTTGTTCCTGTTTAAATTTTCAGAATTTCAATCTAACCATGATTTATACCTCCGCATAAACGCCTTACACTGGAAGTAACAGCTCAAGGACGATGAAAGAGTGATTTTCTTTTACCTATTCTTCGGTGCTCTTCGGTGCCTGTCATATCGCCGTAATTTATCGTTGCATGCCAAGTTATTCGGGACTCAATGTGGAAAGAAGAATCACGGATAGTCAGGAGATTTCGTTACACCACCTTACTCAAAGGAACGCCCTCTTGCACCCGAAGAAAAACGACAATGTAAACCTAAATACGATTTTATTTAAAAATACTTTTTAATGAATTCTAAAAAAAATTGGTCAAGTTCTATATTAATCCCTTTTGATTTAGACTATTTGATTTACAATTGATTCAATAGAACAAAACAAAAGTAAACTAAGAAAATACAATTCTTAATAAACTTCAAAAAAATGCATCCCAAAATATTTTTGAAAAAAATATAATATTTCGTTTTGAACAAGCATTTGGTTTATATATTTGTTCACTGTGTGTGCACCTAATATCAATTCTTAATATACTTCAAAAAAATGCATCCCAAAATATTTTTGAAAAAAATATAATATTTCGTTTTGAAAAAGCATTTGGTTTATATATTTGTTCACTGTGTGTGCACCTAATCCAGGGGAAAATCAAGAAACATAATGGCATTTCGGGTAAAGCCTGTACAACGGAGCCTGAAAATCGATTCACATTCATGTCCGTCGTTCAGTGTCCGATTTCCATTGTCCAAATGATTTTCGGGCTTGTGTGCGAGTGTGTGGGTGTGTGCCAGTCTTTTGATTGAACAATCCGATTTGGTTGCATTCGCTGCAGTCCCGCTGGTAAAAGGGAAAATCGGGGAGTGGCAAATCACAAGGCCATCCAAGTTGAGGCGGGTCAGGGAGACGAGCGCAGATGCGCAGACGAGTGAAAGTGGGAAAGTCTGGGATGCAGGTCCATCGATCAGCAGAGTTTCCGTCCCCGTAAGTGTATGTTTTTGATTCGAAATAGGCAGCCAATACTAATCGTACAAATTACCCTGGGCTTGCACTTTTACTGACTTAATTTACCTATAAATCATATCCCCTTTTTTTTATGAGACAATTTATAAAAAATCGTTGATAATACTTAATTTGTTTTGCTAAAATTCGTACCATTTTTAAGGTATCTCGGATAACTAATGATTTGACAAAGTTTTCCTCATCCCTTTGAAACCCTTTTTCAAATTGAACTCCAGCCAAGGCTTGCTCCGGGAAAAATTGGAAATCGTTTAAAGCACTTTGAGCTGTTATCTGCGATTTAAAGGAGCTTAGACTTACGCCAGGGACACTCGCACTCGAAGGCAAACACTGCAGATGGTGGGGCAAACAACGGATGAGCTGTTTTCCTTTTATCGAGATAATGGTGGGGACTACTTAGAAGTCCTGTTTCCATACTGGCAATTATTTTATTTTTATTTTTATTTATTTAGTGTACAAGAACACTTCTTTAAATTTTATAAAACTGTTGTTTTTTAAAAAATATTAGTGGAGGAATATAAATAAGTAAAAGGTATTTACATTGAAATGTGTGGGTAGTGATGATTTTTGACTTGAGTGATTTGTTTCTCGGCTGGCAATTAATTTCGGACTTAGGAAATTAAAATATTACAAAGTAAATAGTAAGAAGAAACCAACTTTTGAAACACAATGTAAGTTTTTCAAGCGTTTCTAAACTTTAGGGTTAAGTAAAGGAGGCAAAGTTGAATCTATCTGTTGGCAGCAAGGAAGACGAGACCTTGAACGCTGAAAGCCCCCAGGACCCAGCCATCCATCCCATCCATCCCATCCACCCACTCCACCCACTACACCCCCTCCACAACCACCGCCGACCCCTTGGTCAGAGCCCGATGCTTCCGCTTTGAATAAAACGCATTTTTCAAAAGCGCCAGTGTGTGTGTGCATGAATAATGTAAATATATACAAGGACGGCCACATGCGCACGTAAGTGTGTGTGCTTATGTGCTGTCACTGTAGGCGTTTTTGGGCAGTTGGGCAAACACCACCCACCGTAGCCCCACGACCACCCCACCCCACCCCCACCCCCTCCAACTGGCTGAGCCAATATTGAAACTTTCCACTATACAACGCCAGCACATACACACAATTCAAATTTGCCATGTGTGTGGAAACAGGATTTAAGCACTGAGAAAAATTAAAATATGGTTTAAAATACTTTTACTGAAGTTACTGAAGATCGCCTTCAACTTCCAAAAAACTGATTTTAAATTTAGCGCTGAAAATATATTTTATTTAAATTTTAAAAATGTTCCATGTTTTCTTATTCCGAGTGTTTAAGTATTCACATTTTGCTTCTTATTTATCGAAATAAAAAAATATTCGAATGTTTAATTGTTTAATTATAATCAGTTTTTGTCACTTTGACTTTGAACATTATGGATGTTTCCTGTTTCGTAAGATATCTGTTTTAATATAAAAATGTTATGTGTTTTAAAAAACAAAGTTTTACAAGAGTTTTTAGAAGTCTGTAAGCTTTTTGTTCGCTCAACAAAAATCTTTAATAATAGTATTTCTGAATGTGTCCGCTGATCAGATTTATGAATGTTGCATTGAATTTATCTTAACAGATTTGCATATGTTCTCTGTTTTTAGACATATATGTTTTTTTTGCTATCCTTTTTTATAAGAAAAGCTTTCTATAAACAGAACTCATTACATAATTTTATATTGAACAAAAACAGATTTTTGTACAGTCTTTCAAGAAAATAATTATATTTCTGGACGCATGAAATGCAATACATTTTTGTCCATAGCTTAAGGGCGCTTTTAATGATCGGTAATTATGAGATTCTCCATTTTACTTATTTATTCTATACATTTCAGCGGAGTCTAAGCACTGGAGTGAATCGAGCTCTTGAATACTGGACTTGCATCTCCTTAAATTCCGACTTTATCCTACTTTCAGTCGAGTAAGCCTTAAATTCCATTTCCCTGCCCCTTTTGGATATTTAATTTTGTTTAAACACACATACACATGGCACAAGAACACGGACACAACGCACACACGTGCGCAACATTTCAAATAGCGCATAAATTTTGAAAAGTCCATGCAAAATCAAAACGAATTTCCTTGCTGGACAGCATCCCTCTGTTTTTGAGGAGGGGGGTGGTGCTCCACTGCGGACCACATGTGCCTTGCCCACCCCCACCCTCACCTCCCCACTTCCATCCACAACCCCCTTCGCGTCGCAGAATTACGCATGCTTTCAGCTCTAGGCATTGTTGTTGATTGTACGGTGGGTGGACGGAGGGTGGGCGGTGGGTGGACGGTAGGCCGGGCCCTGGCCCAAATGTGCAGAAAGCATAAGCCTAAGCTTTTTTATCGCTTCGAAAATGAGACAGGCTGAAAAAACGTGAAAGTGGTCCAAGCACACTCAGAGGAACAAAGTTTCCAATTTTATATTGAAAGGAGAATACAAGGTTTGGTTTGATTACTCTTCAAATCAAGTAAACAAAATAATAATACGTTGGTTATATTATTTATTAGATAGGAAAATCGTCCTTGAATCAGACAATAATTTCGTCAATTCAGAAATTGCTTTCTAAAAAGAGAAAAAATGTTTATACAAAAATTTATCTCTGAAACTCAGAAATAAAAGTTTTCTTAAATCTTTAAATTTTTTTTTTTTAAATATAAATTGGTTTTTATGAATATAGAAAACCGTATTAAAATGGGAATACAATTTTTGTTTTTATTGTTTTGGGAAGCCCTATTCCCCATTGGGCGTAAGAAACAAGATCGCGAGAAGTGAGAAAGTACAATATAGAAACGGACAGAACAAGTTAAAATACATACAAAATTAAATACTAATACTTCGTGCTAAATAGGATAAAAAAAATGCTTTTAAGATTGGCAAAGAATCTATTACACAGTACTCTAAAAGTAAGACTTAAAGTATGTTATAGTTATAGTTCCTGGTAATTCTGTTGGGCACATAGAAGTTTAGGCGACCCAGTAACTCGGGACTCTTCACATCCCCGGTGATAAGTTTACGAATAAAAATAGTGCCAAGCATCGTTCTACGGTTTGATAAGGATGGTAGATTAATTAGAAGAAGTCAACTAGAATAAGAGGGTAAAATAGGGATTGCATTCCAGTTAAGGCCCCGTAGACCAAATAGTAAAAACTTATTTGCTATTACCTTACAAAATGCTATTACTTTACACGAGCGCTATTTAAATCCAATGGATTTTCACATCACCATGTTTAACAAGCACACTTCGGCAACCCGAAGTTTATATTCCTTGCAGTTATTACAAAACGACTACATTTCGATTTCTATGCCTCTATTACTAACGAGGACGGAAGCTTACTTCGGCAAAGCCCAAGTTTTAATACCCTTACAGACTTTACCAAAATTGGTAAAACTGAAAAAGTAGCGAAAGGAATAAGGTAAATAAACTAGATTTGCATCGTTTGATGTCAATTGCTTTTATACTGCAAAGATGTCATATAAAAATAGAAAAAAAGGTATACTTTCGCAGCCTTTAACAATTTTTCCTACGGAAGCTATAAGATATAGACGTCCGATCGGCAAGCGCTTTTACCCTAATGAAGATATGTGTAAATAAATAAGACTTGGAAAAATATATGTCAGTAGCTTACACACTGCGCGAAAAATTCTGAAAATCATCAAATTTGGACCGATTTAACCCTATCGTTCCTATGGGAGCTATAGGATATAGACGTCCGATCGTCACGCGCTTTTACCCTAATCAAGGTATGCATAAAAAAATTCGATTTGGAAAGATTCATGTCAATAGCTTACATACTGCGCGAAATATCCTAAAAATCATTCAATTTTAACGGATTTCACCCTATTGTTCCTATGGGAGCTATGGGATATAGACGTCCGATCGCCAAGCGCTTTTATCCTTATCAAGGTATGCATTAAAAAAATAAGATTTGGAAAGATTTATGTTAATAGCTTTGACACTGCGCGAAATATCTTCCATTCTTGCAAGTTATATCCGATTGTTCCTATGGGAGCTATAGGATATAGACATCCGATCGGGGTTTTCAAACTTGATATGCGTACACATGTTTTAGGACGAGTGTGAAAGTTTCAGATCGCTAGCTTTTAAACTGAGCTCGCAAACGGTATTAAAAACAGACGGACAGACGGACATGGCTTTATCGAATCCCCTATTGATCCTAATTAAGAATATATATACTTTATGGGGTCGGAAACGTCTCCTTCACTGCGTTACAAACTTCTGACCAAAATTATAATACCCTCTGCAAGGGTATAAAAACAATGAAGCTATGTCGATTTTGCGCTGCATTTTGCTATCGTTTCTATGGCAGCAATATGATATTGTTGTCCGATTTTGACAAAACTAAAATCGTAATACTGATTTAGTAAATAATTACTAATTCTCAAAGAAACATTTTGTTACATAGAAAAACAGCTAAATAAATTTGTTTTTCTTTCTTTATTATACCCTTGCAGAGGGTATTATAATTTTGGTGAAAAGTGTGCAACGCAGTGAATGAGACATCTCCGACCCTATAAAGTATATATATTCTTGATCAGGATCTCGGCCTGAGTTGATATAAGCATGTCCGTCTGTCTGTCCCTCTGTCTGTTTCTACGCGAACTAGTCTCTCAGGTTTTAAGATACCGAATTAAAACTTTGCACACACCCTTCTTTCCTTTGCACGCAGTATATAAGTCGGAACGGCCGGGAACGGTCGACTATATCCTATAGCTGCCATATAACTGAACGATCGGAAATGCCATAACTTTGGTGTTTTTAAAGTTGGGATTTTTTATGGGTCTTATATTTGACCAATCAATTCGACCTACCAAATTTCATAAGGATCGGCCGACTATATCCTATAGCCGTCATTTAACTGATTGATTGGAAATGCCATAACTTTGGTGTTTGTAAAGTTAGGAAGTTGGGATTTTCTATGGGTTTTATTTTTGGCCAATCAATCCAAATTTCAAAAAGATCGGCCGACTATATCCTATAGCTGCCATATAACTGAACGATCGGAAATGCCATACTTTGGTGTTTTTAAAGTTAGGAAGTTGGGATTCTTTTTGAGTATTAAGAATGTATCATATGACTAATGCTAATTTACTGACTTCAGCAAAGCCTTCGATTCAGTGAACCATGAGTTACAAATCCACAAGCTTCTCCTCCTTGGATTCTCTCGTACATTCGTTCCTACCTTACAAACCGGACACAAAAGATCCAATTGTAACCTCTGGAGCACCACATGGTCCATTTCTATTTGGCCTATTTATTAATTGAGGAAGACTCAAAGTTCTGATGTATGCAGATTGTGTGATGGTTTCCACATGCAGTTCCAGCTTTACCTAAATAAACTTCAATCCTGGTCCCAAGTCAATAAGCTACTGCTTATAAATGTAAATCCATGTCATTTTTGATACAATCCAACTATTCATACATACTCCTGAAAACAGCGCTTGAACGCATTGACACTGTTCAAGATCTAAATTAAATATGCTTTAATCAACAAAGCTTTCATCAAACGCTGGACCAACGAATTTGATAATCCGTGCACTGCAAACTCTTTTTTGTTTCCCTAAACCATCTAAAAGTTGAGTACTGTTTAAGGTATTCAGAGCTTTATCAAGAATATTCCCAGAAGCAGGTTCCCCTGTTTGCGTTACGTGGCTTAATTCAGTGCAAAATCGGTAATTTTTTAAGAATTTTTATTGGCGTTACGGATAGTCTCAGCATGTGATAGGACAACATTTAAACAACATTTGTGAATTTTTTCATCCAAAAATATTAAAAATTGAGTGAGATACAAGCAATTTTCAGCGTCGCCTCGAAGAAAACACGTTTTGCGGTGTACACGATAACTGGTCACAGAATCATCTGAATTGAAAAAATCAAATTGCATTAGTTAAAGGACAAGGTTCCTCAGGTAACGCTGTTGAGTTTTTATTTTTTTTCAATTTTTTAAGGCACCTGAGGAGTTTAGTAGAGTACTGTGCAAAATCTCAAAACGATCCATCCGATAGATTTTGCAGGATCGTGTACACCGGACTTTGAAATGGCAACTTTTCAGGAGAGCGTTTTAAAGTTTGGGACACCCAGAAATTGAATATAAAACGCGCTTACTTACCTACGTTCAACTGCCCATAACTCGGATCGATCAAAAATTTTAACACATTATGTTGTGCATTCAGAAAAAAAATTTTTTAAAATGCAAAAAAAAAATTTTAAATTAAATACTTCCTTAAGCAGGGAGACAGGACGCCGACTACCTTCCCACAGAGATAGACTGTGCTTTTTGGTCCGGCCAACCTTAAATGACCGTCGGAACTGAACCAACTCATTACTGGCACCGTAGATTCATCCCATCTTATAACCTTCTTAAATTTGAATGTTCCTCCAGACCGTGTCGTTGATTTCTTCCATTAGCACTACAGGTGTGGAGGTCAAACTACTTCGTGTTGACCCAATCCGAGTTATCTGCCCTAATAATAATAATGCTGCTCCTAAAACGAGTAATACTAGCTTCATTGGCATAAAATTGATCTTACTATTACTTTTTTTCCCGGACTTTTACCTATATTTTCTTATCTCGCGTCTATCTTCTCGCGAATCGTGCCGTACGATACACGGCTGCGCCCCTCGGTCGGTTGGGCGGGTAAGTGGGCCGTGGGACTCCGCGCGAAAAAAAATATAAAATCACTCCGACATCCTTAAATATTTAACAAACTTATTTTTAATTACCTGTTTATATTTAAGTCTGTTGAGTTTTGCGTAGCTTTAAACAAATAAACAAAAATATTTAAAAATACATGTCTTATGATTTAAACACTTTTACTGAAACCCGCAATGTTTTGAAATTAGACGAACCGTTGGGGTACGGGCACACTTCGTTGTATCGATATACCTTTAAATATATATCGAAATTTCACAATGCGAAAAAAAAGGTTATTTTGATTTTACTACCAGTCAATTAAATATTTGTTAAATATTTTAAAAAAAGTGATTTTCCTATATATTCTGTCTTGATGTCTATCAATAAAACATTTTACAATCTAACGAATAAAAATAATTTTAAAATTGTAGGCGTTGCTAACGGTTTTTTCAAGAAATAAAAATAACTACTCCGAAAATCATAGTAATTGAGAATTTTAACAAAATTGGAAATATGTAATTTTTAATCAATTATGCTTTATTTTTAGAAGCCGAACAAAAATCTATCTTCCGTTCATATTATTTGAATAAAATAATAGTATTATTCTTATTTTTTAAATCGTCCGCCATGCAGTGTTGCCAGAATATCCACCGAGAATAATAGAACAGAGTGGTGCCACATTACAGACAACCCTAGGCCAATCGATTGCGCCAAGTGTTATCGATCCTACTAGCGGCAAGCAATCGGAAATTTTCGAAATTGTTTTCTGTTTGACGCCTGTGGTTTTTTTGAAGCGAATCCAAGTTTTACGAACGGATCGGAACCGAATGGCTACGCTACGAAACCACACATCGGCCGGCAACGGCAGCAACAACAACCACGGCCAGGACTCGCCACAGGCGCCGCAGGACGCGGGGGCCACGCTGGCCATCGGTTATGTGCGGGAGTTTAGGGCGCGGGCGGCCGCCTTCCAGGTGCAGCGGTCCGAGGAGTCGCTGGTCTACGTGCAGCGCAGCGTGGCGCTGCTGGGCACCAAGGTGCAGCCGCTGCACTTTGCCCCGTCGCCAGGAAACCTGGAGCTGGCCCGCTTTTACGTGGACCTGCACGCCCTGATGGGCGCCCTGGAGAACGAAGGCGCCGAGGACGACGTGCTGTGGGGCTGCGTGGCGCTGGTGCAGCACTGCAGCCGGAATCTGGAGGCGCGCCTTGCGATCGTCGAGAAATACTGCTTCGTGCCACTGCTGGGCGTGCTCATCCGGCGAACTCTGAAGCCGGAGCGGATGCACCGACTGCTGGTGCTGCTGCAGGACCTGACATACGGCATCCACATCGCCTGGGAGGAGCCCTACCTAGCGGGCCTGCTCGAGCACCTTGTGGAGATCGTGCACGGCTCGGGAGATGACTCTTGTACCACAACTGGTGGTTCCACAGCCCTCTCCGTGCTGGTGAACCTCTGCTACAAGAACTTCGCTGTGCTATTCCTCTTCCTGCGCAGCGTGAACATATCCGCCTTCTGCCGGCGCATCCAGAACTACGGCCTGCTGGCCTACAAGATGCTCATCATCCTCTCGGAGGACGTTTACGCTTTCGAGCTCCGCGAGCTGTACACCTTTCTGCGCACCGCCTTCGCCGGCATCGAGGACTGCCTGAAGCACTGGAACGTGGCCCAGATGCGACACATCGTCGACTTCCTGCTGGACTCGCAATGCCACGCCGGCCTCCACCGGGCGATGCTATCGCATACGCACTACTGCGAGGACGTGGAGAAGCTGCTGGACGTGAGTTTCCGTGATCTTTCAGCCGAGGGCATTTCTCACTGCTTTCCCCCTTTCAGCAAATCGACGCTCGCTGCGGCATGGACGACTCGCAGGAGGAGACACGCAAGCACCACCAGATTTGCCTGGACCTGGTCTTCCGCCTCGTCAGCTACATTTTGCAGCTCTCCGAGGACGGGAGCCTTGACGCCATCACGACGCGCCTGTACGAGATGGTCGGAGACTGGCTGGGCTCCGATCTGTGCGGCGTGGCGGCTATTGAGCTGCTCTGCACCCTCCTGCGCCTGGGCAAGCGGGCAGCGGTGGCCCAGCTCATCGCCCGCGATCCATCGCACGTGGTCAGCCTGGTGGTCAGCACGGAGCGACCGGAGACGAGGCCTGCTCAGGTGTTGGCCGTTTTACGCCTGCTGATCGCCCTGCTGCAGGAGCCCAAGACTGAGAAGCTGGTGCTGTCCAAGATTTCCGAGTCGTACTTCGACAAGATCCTGGCGGCTCCGCTCGCCCTAGTTCCCCAGTTCCTCAGCACACAGAGCTTGGCGCAAGCAGAGGTGGAGAAGGCCTGCTTCTGCCTGCTGCTGCTCGTCAACGTCGCCGGCATCGCTAAGAAGGCGTACTTGGACAAATGCTGCACTCTACTGGAGCAGCCCCAACTGCAGTACTGCCTGGCCCGCGGCATGGTGAGCAGGAGCGAACCTCTGGTGTCCGCGGTCCTCCAAATCGCACAGTTCGAGCACTTCCCCAAGAAAGCTGTGGCCAAGGTAAGTAACTATTCCTGACTCTTCCTTTCTCATTTTTCCAAGAAGGGTCCTATTTTAGTTAGAATCATTAGACTAGAAACCTCAATAGTTGCCCAATTATCTATTTGCAAACCCTGTGGTATCCAAACCTCCTAGATATTTTGGAATTCCTAAATATTAACATACTCTCCTTATACTACCTCCTATAGCATGTGGCTGGCTTTAGCGGTGGTCCAGGCGGATCAGGGACTTCAGCTGCTTACAGCGACCAAGCCGAGCAGTGGCGCAACCTCAGCTCGATCCTTAAGAGCCACCGCACCTTTACCGACAAAGAAATGGCGCAACGGGTAAACGCCCTTCTGGACAGCATCGGAGGCATTGTTCGTCGCAACGAGCTTGCATCGGCGCCAGTCTCCCAGGTGATCGAGCTATACAACCACCGCATCGACAGCCTCAACGGCGCCGTGTTGAGTCTGCAGCAGCGCCTGGAGCAGGCCGGCCAGCAGCTGACCAATAGTACACAGCTGGCCCACGTGCAGAGCACCGAGCTAGAACGCTTCCAGTCTACAAACTTCGAACTGCTCATCAGCCAGGAGCGGTAAGTGGAGTTAGTAGGGCTAGCAAGCGATCCAGACGTTTAAGTTAGATCCATGAATCTTTTATTTCACTGGGTACATCATTTCACAAATACTTATTGGAAGCATGATAATTCGGATAATAATTGTCTAAATCAAAAACTACTACAACACATTTCGCCAAAACAAGTATACATGTAGGATATAGCATTTTTGGATGTTCTGGGCAACATCTTGAAGGGAATGTAGATAACCACACAAATATTTTCCAAATTTAGATTCTTCAGACGATTTATTTAAACAATTCTTATATAGGCAGAGTCCTAAATCATTATGACGAAACTCTTGCAAGTTCTTTAGTTTGGATTCCATATTCTTTTAGGCTACAAACTCAGTGCAAGGATCTCAAACAGCAGACGGACAAACTGAAAAGCAACATGTCCAATCTACTGAAGCAGCTGTCCGAGAACTCCGAACACTTGCAGGCCAGCGAACGGCGATTAAACGTGAAAAAGTCGGAGATTGCCGGCCTGCAAAAGGACTGCGAGGAGCTGCGAACGAACCTTATCGCCAAAAGCGAGGAGCTCACCAAGCTGGAGGCTCACAACAAAGAAAACGTAAGAGCCCGAGTATTAAATCCACTAAGTGTTCCATGCATCAATCCCCTCTCTCTCACTCTCCTTGCAGATATCTCGCATCGACAAACTAAAGAAGTCAATGGTGGCCTACGAGCAGGATATGAAGGAGAAGCTGCGTACCATAGAGGAGCGCGAACGAGAGCTGACCAAGACGCACAAGGCCCTGGAGGAGCAGCGGGATGCACGCAAGAAGTCCGAGGACCTGGTTTCCGTGCTGGAGACGCAGCTCCAGGAGCGGAAGGATCAGATCGAGCACCTCGAGATGGAGCAAAAGGAGACGGAAGACTTGCGCAAGACCATCATGAGTCTGATGGAGAGCAAAAAGCCAAAACGGAAGGCCTGAGACTCATTTTTAAATAAGTTTAAGCTAGTAATCTAAATTCTCCACCGGCATTAAATACATTTTTTTTATATTTATATACATTTATTGCGTCTTGCAGTGCAATCCATTGTTGCGGTGCAAGGTTCCATTCCAATTCCAATTCAACCAAAAATACAAAATAATTGAATAAGCCAAGTGAAGTTTACAAATTACTATAAGTTGTCTATGCGTGATTTGGGAGTTGTGCGGTCTACAGGTATAGGTGTACTATTTACTAAAAGGTTTTCTAAACGCTTATACATCGTTTGCGGCCTTTCGCCGACTTCTTTACGCTTACATCGCTAACACCGGCTCAATTCTCAGTTACTCATCTAAAATCCCAGCGGAGGATATTATATTAAAAAGGAATAAAACGTGGAATTGCGTACAAAGGAAACAATCACAAACGAAACAAGAAAGGTTTTCCAAGTTGCAATATATACAGATCTCGGTATATACAGTGCATCATATGGAGGAGAAGGAGCCAGGGCGGGATGAGCTAGAGCTCGGGCGGAAATCTGGCCACGATGTTGCGCAGCTTCTGGTCCTGGGCACCGGGCTGAGGGAAGAAGGGGATTTGCGGACTTAGGAGCCGAAGTGCTCCTTTTCCTGGTCGATGGTCTCGAACTCATAGCTGCCCCGGCCGTCGAACTGCAGGTAGTAGTCGTGGTGCACCCACAGAGACTTGCGGTGCGAGACCGTGAAGAGCGTGATGCCCACCTCGCGGCAATAGCTATACATCTTGCCCTCCACGTCCACGGAGACGGCGCTGGTGCACTCATCCAGAATGGCGAACTGTGGCCGGTGGTAGAAGAGCCGGGCCATGGCGATGCGCTGCTTCTCGCCGCCGGACAGCACGTCGATCCAGTCCTCGATTGCGTCTAGGCCGTTCTCGCGCTGTTCCAAATAGGTCAGCTGCACGATGTCCAGGTAGTGCATGAGATCCTCGTCGCTCTGTCCCAGTCGGCGCATATCCTCGCGCGTGTGTGGATAAATGATCTGTTTAGGTAAAGAGTGTTATTAGGGGACATTACTGATGTACAACATTAAGCTTTATGCACTGCTCACCTGGTCGCGCAATGTTCCCAGTGTCATGTAGGGCCTCTGAGGTATGTAGAAGAGCTTGCCGCGCGAGGGCTTCGTGACCTTGCCGCCCCACGTAGGCCACAGCTCACCAAGGATGCGGAACAGAGAGGACTTGCCGCAGCCGTTGGGTCCGCAAACCAGGACGTTTGTGCCAGACCTGAAACCAGAGAGCTCAATGAGAAATCTAACTTCAGCCCCATCTGATTTACACTTACTTCACTTCAAAAGTAAGCTCCTGAAGCAGTACGTCGCCGTTGGGCGTTACCAGGGGAACCTGTTCGAAACGGATGATGTTGTCCTCGAAGCACATGATGCCCTTGTTCGGCCCAAAGTTGCTCGCCGCCGATCCACCGGCGTTTTGCGTGATGTTGTTGCCGTTGATCATGGTTCGTTCGTAGGTGCCCTTGTTGAGGTCGCCCAGCACCTTGATCAACTCTGTCATGCGGGCGGTGAAGCCGGCGAGGCGGGACATTTCGCGTCCAGCTAGCACCAGGCGACCGATGGCCTCTGCCAGCTTGACCAGCATGCGCCCGTAGGTGTAGTAGGCCTGCAAGCGCTGGCCACTGTGCTCGCCGGACAGCAGCGGGTGGTTTTCGGCGAAGAAGGGAATGGATACGGCGTAGAAGCCCACGATGGAGGCGAAATCTGTGGGTGACAGCTGTTAGGGTTAGGTGCACTGGGACAACATGGTGGTAGCGTACATTTTCCGATGATGTTGTCGATGATGCCCATGCTGACGCGGAACTCGAGGAACTTGCGCAGGTGCGAGCGCAGCTTGGAGTAGCTGGCCAGCAGCGTGAGCTTCTCACGCTTGTTGCCCTGGTAGAAGGCCACCTCCTCCGAGTTGGTGATCAGTCGGCTGTTCACATAGCGGAACTCGCCCTCCAGCTTCTGCTCCTCGACGGTCAGGCGGCCAGTGGGGCGGCGCAGACGCGTCAAGAAAACGCCAGCGAACAGCAGGTAGAGCATCAGGATCGAGGGCGTCTTGCCGCCCAAGTTCACTGTCAGACGGTACACGTAGATGAAGATGTCCAGCACGGGCTTGCTAATGTTAGAGTACAGGTCCGTTGCGCTCTCGCAGAACTTGTCGATGTCCGTTGTCAGCAGCTGATCGGCGTTGGCTATCCTGTTGTCCAGGTTGGACATTTTGTAGTAGGTGTAGCCACTAGAAGCAAGAAGAGCATGTAAGTTACATTGAACTGGATACATCAAGCTTTGTTCAACCTAAGGGGTTTCGCTAAAACAAAATTTCTTTCTTTTTGTGCACGCAGATCAAGTTTGAAATCAAGTTTTAAATATTCACCAAAGGTGTTTTTCGGGTCTGAGTAAAAATAATTCACGTTTAAAAATTAAAATTGTTTTTTATATAATTTATAGAAGTGATTGTTTTTGGCCTCTACAAGCCCATGTAACATCACAAGATGTATCTTTTTTTATCAATTGTAATTGTTAGACATGATATTAGTTCTGTCCTACCATAATCTTATTACGGTACTCACTTTAGGTACTGACTGTACAGGTGATGTGTGAGGTTAGTGCGGAACCTTAGCTTCAGCTCACCCAAACTCCACTTAAGGACGTTGGTCACAACAGAGATCTGTAAGAAACACAAATAGTAAGTTAGTAGTTGTTTCCATCACGCAAAGGGATTCATTTTATCTCTCTTACCGCTGGAAGAGCTGTCAGATATTTAAGCAACGCCGACTTGAACTTGGTGCGGTTCATGTGTATGATGGTGCTCTCCACCACAGTCGCGTTCTGGATCATCCAGATGTCGCTCACAGAGCGACCGATCAGTGCGGCGGCCACCAGGAACAGCAGGCCAGTCTCAATACTCCAGAAGCCCGGGATAAGAATGGCTATAAGGAAAAAAGAAGAGGAGGTTTTGAGCGCTCCGGCGTACCGCTGATCGACGCCGGCGTATCGCTGATTTACTTACGGAGAAGCTGGCGCAGCTGTTTAAAGAATACTGAGTTTACATGGGCCTTGGACGCTTTTTTCTCCTTCTTTTCGGCGATTGTGTACTGGATCTTGTCCTCATAACCGGGTTTTCTGAAATAGTGGAGAAATATAGTTTTAGGTTTCAAGATTTAACACAAGTTGCATTCAATTAGATACTCCTTTCAAAACATATTTATTCATAACAAGAAAGGAAAGCTAACTTCGGGCGGAGCCGAAGTTGATATACCCTTGCAGAATACTCTGTAAATTATATTCTCCAAAATTATTCATATGATGCATTCTTAATACTCATAAAAAATCCGAACTTCCTAGCTTTAACAACAACAAAGTTATGGCATTTCCAATCGTTCAGTTATATGGTAGCTATAGGATATAGTCCGCCGATTCTTATGAAATTTGGTAGGTCGGATTGATTGGCCAAATATAACACCCACAGAAAATCCCAAATTCCTAACTTTACAAACACCAAAGTTATGGCATTTCCGATCAATCAGTTATATGGCAGCTATAGGATATAGTCGGCCGATCCTTATGAAATTTGGTAGGTCGGATTGATTGGCCAAAAATAAAATCCATAGAAAATCCCAACTTCCTAACTTAACAAACACCAAAGTTATGGCATTTCCGATCAATCAGTTATATGGCAGCTATAGGATATAGTCGGCCGATCCTTATGAAATTTGGTGGGTCGGATTGATTGGCCAAATATAAAACCCATAGAAAATCCCAACTTTCTAACTTTACAAACACCAAAGTTATGGCATTTCCGATCAATCAGTTATATGGCAGCTATAGGATATAGTCGGCCGATCCTTATGAAATTTGGTAGGTCGGATTGATTGGCCAAATATAAAACCCATAGAAAATCCCAACTTTCTAACTTTACAAACACCAAAGTTATGGCATTTCCGATCAATCAGTTATATGGCAGCTATAGGATATAGTCGGCCGATCCTTATGAAATTTGGTAGGTCGGATTGATTGGCCAAATATAAAACCCATAGAAAATCCCAACTTCCTAACTTTACAAACACGAAAGTTATGGCATTTCCGATCAATCAGTTATATGGCAGCTATAGGATATAGTCGGCCGATCCCGGCCGTTCCGACTTATATACTGCGTGCAAAGGAAAGAAGGGTGTGTGCAAAGTTTCAATCCGATAGCTTTAAAACTGAGAGACTAGTTTGCGTAGAAACAGACAGACGGACAGACGGACAGACGGACATGGCTATATCAACTCAGGAGGTGATCCTGATCAAGAATATATATACTTTATAGGGTCGGAGATGTCTCCTTCACTGCGTTGCACACTTTTGACCAAAATTATAATACCCTCTGCAAGGGTATAAAAATGACTTTTGTACTTACAAATTAAAAAATGATATATAGCTAAATACTTATAAATAACCGCAGTTATTTTAGTACTTGAAAAAATGTTACAATCAAAAGATATACTTGTATTTGCTAACTAAAGATATCACTACTGTTTCCATAAATAAAGGCCAAAATGAATCTAGAAGCTGTAAAACTAGCAACCAATGATGTTTATATTGTTTGCATGAATTTATGACCAAGTTAACAAATTTAAATACTACCCAACGTTAATTCATTACACTGATCGACAGAAAGTCTATGATTAGAAAATTAATTATTCCGAAATGTATTGCCAAATCGAGACAAAAAACTTTCAAACGTTCAACTTCAATGTTCAACTCGAAAATTCCATGTGGGACCTCTTGCCTATTGATTTAAATGCATTTTAAATGCAATTTGATCATTTTTGTCACTTTTCCAACGTAGCTTGATATTTATAAAGTTGAGCGTGTATCTCGGTTTTTACATTTTTAATTGTTCCTTGTTAAACCTAGGGTTACACTATACTTTAAAAAAATGTGGCAAAAATTAACTTTGTACTTCTAATTAGTTAACGAGGACAGAGGTCACACATTGCATTTTCTTATTATATATTGAAGATTAAAGTTTAAAGAATAATTTTATTTCAATTACAGATCTGTTGTTTTGTTGTAAGTAAGCCTTAAAAGGACGCTAAGTGAAAAATGTAATACTTTGACCTCGATTTTCTCAAAACAGGGTCGGAAGGA